GGGAACCTGCACATTAGGGGTGGAGACAGGGTGCTGGATAGCAGATCAAACATAGAGAAGCGAGGGGACTCAGAAGCACTTCCATTAAAATTGCATGAGTGCCAGCATTTATTCTGCAGCACAAAGTCTTCCTGGATGAACTGGCCAGTGTTTAATAGAAACACCGACTCACAAGCATCAAGGTTCTTAATCAGTCTTGTTTTTAATTAAAATGGCCTATGTTGTTTCCCAGCCTTAAAAGACAGACAAAGGAAAAAACAAACAAAAATTAATCTGGTCAAGGTTGGCATCTGTTACTGCAGGGAGAATTTCTAACATCCCACCTACACACACATCCATCCCTCCTCCCTGAGGGAGAATATTAAGTAGCACAGCTGGTTCAGATCCTGATCTTTTCTCAGCCGTATCTTCAGAGAACAGTTTAATAAAGCATTAATAATGTAGCAGCAGCACCCCCCCCACACACACACACACTCTGAAGATGGGGGTAATCTGGCTGCATAATTTTGCTAATGATATATCTGTAGAGTGCTATTTCTAGCTATTGTCAGGTATGTGTTTGTGATTCAGTTACGAGGGCTATGCTGGTTTCAGGGCTACAAATAGCATTCGGGATTCGGCACTCCCTCCGTCTGGCTCAGTGAATATGCACTGCTATTTTGGAGACAGGACTAAAGATTGGGTTCTCAATAGTCTGCAGGACACGCTCACGATTTTTAAGAAACTACCACTTGATGTAAGTGAGGGATTGTTGGAAGGCAGAGCCGAGGGCAGGAAGGGATACACCATTTGTGTATGTGGGAAATGCCACGGGTATTCAAGGCAAGACAGAGAGATGGCAGTGACTGTTAGAGCTATAGTCGGCGTTTGAATAATATAGGTTTATTTCTAAAATTTTGTTTTCCCTTAAGCAGTGTGTGGGGCCGCCTTTGTGACTGCTTTTCCTCTTTGAATGGGTGCCACAGTGTTCTTAAGCATTGTGCACTTGCCTCTCCAGAGCTCATCCTCGGCTGGCTGCTGCACTAGGCTGGCTGCGGGTTCTGCAGCATCACAACCGGGCTGGGCATCAGCAGCCCAGCCCAGCCCCTCTGTGGGTGGGTGTACCCCTGTTGCCGCGTGAGGCCCTCTGTGGGTGGGTATGCCCCTCCTGCTGCTGCTTGCTTCTTTCGGTGATTGAAACTCCTATTGTCTTGAATGATACCTTATGCTAGAACTTGAACCAATGTGGGTGGCAAAGGACATCTATCAAATTAGGCATAAGGTGGAAAACAAACATGGCATAAGCTGAATTTCAGAAGCTGTATTTTTAGAGATGGAAGCAGCTTGCTACTTTCCATGAAAGAGTTGGGTATAATTAATGGCCCCTCGTTCCTTTTTGGGTGTTTTTTTCCTGAAGTGTGAGATGCTGGTTTTAACTGCTCCATGTATGTGCGAGTGTTGTTCAGAATCATTAGAGTGGATTCATTTTAGCTAATGGCTATATGAATAGTATTTTTCTTTACCCCTTCCATAGTCTGTTTTTTCATCGTTACAGAAGTCAGACCTTTCTTCTGATGTGTCTTGGCTTCCTAGGGCTGCCGTGACAGAATCCCACAATGAGTGGTGGCTGTCAAGAGCAGACATTGATTGTCTCACAGTTCTGCAGAAAGAGGTGTCTGAATCCAGGGCAATCCAAAGCTGTGCTTTCTCCATGGGCTCTAGGGAGGTTCTGCATTGGCTCTTCCAGCTTCTGGTAGCTCTGAGCATGTCTGTGTGCTTTGGCTTGTAGATGTACCTTCCCTGTGGGAATTATCTTTGTGTTTGATTTTCTCTTTTTATAAGACACACTCAGAAGGGAGTACAACCTACCCTCCTCCAATAAGTGCTCTTTAACATAACCAATAACATCTTTCAAGAAAGAACCTGCTTCCAAAGACATCAATCTCATTCACAGATACAAGGGTTAGGACTTCAATTTGGTTTGTTTTTTTGTGTGTGTGTGTGGGGGAGTAGACACACTCCAATTCGTACACAGTGTGAACTAAAGAAAAGATGAAGCTATATATTAAAATAAAGCACCAAAATAACGCAATATTTCTACTTTTAAGATAGAGGGGACACCAGTGAGAAGTTTGTTGACTGTGATTTCCATATCCTTTGGAATGACGGAGTGTAGCCAGAAGTGGTGGTTTAGGCTGCTGTCAGTTGCTATAGTGTATTTGATAACTTGTTGAAGCCTGGCTTGAGCACTGGGGATGTAACCAAAAAGACTCGGGGGCAGGTTTGATTCTGTGGCATAGCTAAAAGTAAGTCCAAGTCCATCAGTTATGAAAGAGAAAGGGCCAAATATGGGGGTCACAAAATATATTTTATTCAATTGTTTGTATTTTACTTTTAATTGTGAATTAGATTAAATCTCTTGTAAAGTACTTTAGCACCTCCTACATTGTTGTACTGTTTTTGGGGGTGTATTTTCTTTAGGTAGTGCTTTTGTTTTTTTAAATAAGTCAATCAAAGAGCGCATTGGTGAGGAGAGCTCAGAGCTGGTGCTGAGCAGTGCTCGGTGCACCCATGATTCCTGTGGGACGTCTAGGGCCTCCAGATCTGGGTTTAGGAAACCCCCTGCCGTGAAGTTGATGTTGACTCATGACAACCCTATACTGGGTTTATGACACTGTAGACCTCTGTGGGAGTGGACACTCACATCTTTCTCTAGAGGAATGAGGCGTGGGTTTGAACCACCAACCTTACGATTAGCAGTCCAGCCCTTGACCCAAGCAGCACTAGGATTCAGACAGGGAAAAGGGCTTTGATTGGCTCATGAGAAATCTCCTGATTTGTTACATTATTTTGAACATAAGTGGATTTTTCTTTCTTTGTAAACTCAGTTCATTTTTTAATTTATTGAACTGTTTTCTGCCTCAAATATTCACATTTTAAAACCCAGATCCCCTGCTATTGACTTGATTGCAACTCATAGCAATCCTACAGCACACGGAACTGTTCCCTCGAGTTTTCAAGATGCTGAATCTTTTATGGGAGCAGTCAGCCTCATCTTTCTCCTATGGAGCTGTAAGTGGTTTGAATCCCAGACCTTTAGATTAGCAGCCCCAAATGTAACCCATGGTGCTATCAGAACTCCTTGACAGTATCTGTTTATTACCCTAAAGGAAAAAAAGATGCTAAGATTTCTCTTTCCTTTGAGCATATCTGTTGAAATTAAAATGGGATTCTTGTGTTTTAGAAAAGATTCATGTGTATTTGAACAGATGAGGAAGTTAGCTATTTAGGAATATATATGTTTGGATTTGGAATAAGTAAGGCACACCCTTTATGTTCAAATCTTATTGTAGGCACCTGTCAAAGGCAGCCTTGATAAGCAAAATTAACAGGTTTAATTCTTCCCCAACCAGCCTGGCTGTGAGCAACCAATCCTTTCATTTTGACTCCCTTCACAAGTGGAGTGACAATTTGTTGACAGCTGGAGCTCAGGGATGTTTTGAGCTGCTTTGACATTCTCGAAGCATTGTTGGGAACAGAGCCCTGAAGTATCGGGGTGGAAGCACTTCCAGAGTTCTTCCCAGAGAAAATGCTTTCTCAAGGCTGAAGCAAAATTGTCAAGTGGATTTGAGGTAGAAATTCAGGGAGGGAAAGACAATCATTTTCAATAACACACCAGTGGAAATTCACTTTAATCGAATGTAAGACACTTAAGATAGCACGGATGCCAATGTGTTGCTCTTCAATTCATAATGGTTTTAAAAATAGCACATCTTTATCCTAGAGGCCCCCTCACACATGTTGAGTGATCTTTCCTTCCCTGTCCTCCTCCACAGCGACTCGTTCCTCCTACTGTCTGCTGCTTGGGTGTCACACATGGAGACGATGAGTGAGGCAGAGGGGGAAGGCATGATCCTGCCCCTGAGTGGGCTCAGTCCAGCTGGGACTCAGGGCCTTGTTGTCATTGCCACCATTAGTGAGCACAGAATGGATGACAATTTGTCCAGGGAAGTAGTCACTTACATTCTCTCCACTTTATAGATAAGAAAATGGAAACTGCAGAGATGTAATAGCTTGCTCAAACCATGCAGCTTCTAAGGGGCCGGTGGAGCCTTGGCAGTGTGGGTTGTACAGATTAAGCCCTAAACAACTAACTTAGGCAGAGTTTAGTGGGGAGGGGGAGGGGCGGGTTGGCAGAGCAGGACTGGGGCTGAAGGGGAAGAATGAGTAAAGGGGTTTACCCTTCGTGTTTACAAAGATCCATTGAGGTCTTTTGGGTCTGAACCAGTGAGCAAAGCACAAGGGTTATAGGCCCAATGTCTCTGGTCAAGCAGATGGAAGAGGGGAGGGAAGCCAGCCAGGTGGGGGTGTGCGGACAGTATCGTGATAGCTCAGTGTAGCTGCTGGTAAAGTCCTCCCAGCGTGGTTTATCGTCACAAGGGCGCTAGTTCAAGTCTAAAAACCCACGATACGAACTGTGTCATGAGAAATAGATCAGCAAGTCACTCATGGGTAGCCTTTGGAATGTCTTTGTGGAATGAGTGAGAGTCCTTAAGTTATGCTCAGCTACTGACTGAAAGGCTGGGGGTTTGATTCCACTCAGAGACCCAGAAGGTCTGGCCATCTACTGCTGAAAAAAGGCAACCATTGCAAAATCTGTGGAATGTACAGTTGTTCTGAAACACCTGGGCTGCTGATGTCCCAGCTGCCTTCTGGATCCTGGAGGTTCACTGGAGGGAGGTCGGGTCCAGTTGATTTGAGAGCAACGAGTGACTTTTTGTTTGCTTTGGGTTTGAGCATATACTCACTAGAGTTTGGGGAGAGTTACTGATGTGAAGGTAAACTTCTGTTCTTGAAAAGAAAGTTGGTCTCAGAAAGCTCCCCATCTCATACCATGTGGTCTCTTCCCTCATTTATATGGCAGGTGGGTTGGCCTTGGGAATTCTTGGAAGAAGCCACAGCAAGGTGGCCCACACCAGTGCTACTAATGGAGTCATTTTGCTGCTACCCAGAACTGGAGACAAAATTGTCCTCTCTAGGGAAGATATTGATGCACTTGGACTGGGCAAGTGTTTATCTGGTGAGTTCGGATTGGAGCCTGATAAGAGACCTTAGTACTGTTGAATTGGGGCTTGCTGAGTGTTTGGGATGGGATGTTATCATTGTTAGGTGCTGCTGTGGAGCTGACTCTGACTCAGAGTGAGCTCATGTGCAAGAGAATGAAATACTGCCCCTTCCTGCATCACCCCACAATGCTTGCGATGCTTGGGTCCATTATTGCAGCCTCTTTGCAAGTCCGTTTTGTTGAATTATCGTTCTTTTTTTCACCGACCTTCAAATTCCTTCAACCCACCCATAGTCTTTTTGTCCTGGCACTGTTCCCTCTTGATAACATATCCAGAGTATATGCCATGAAGTCTCACTAGCCTTGCTTCTAAGGACCACCTCAGCTGTGCTGCCCACCCAGATTTGCTTGTTTCTCTGGCGGTCCATGGGATGTTTACTGTGCTTCACCCACCCCATACTTTAAGGCACCAGCTCTTGGGTCTGGGGTTTCACATGCATATGAGGTAAATGAAAAGACCATGTCTTGGACCAGGTGCATCTTAGTCCTCAAAATGACATCTTGGCTCTTTGCCATTCTAGAGAGGTTTATTTATTTTCCCCCCAAGATTTACCCAGTGGAGTGTATATGCGGTGCAGTACAAGGACGGAGCCCTGGTAGCTTCATGGATTATGTGTTGGGCTGCAAACCACAAAGAAGTCTGAACCCAGTAGGGTCTAACTCCTCTACGAGGGAGGGAGATGAGGCTTTCTGTTCCTGTCAGGATGGACAGCCTCACACACCCAATGGGGCAGGTCTCTTTGTCCTATAGGGTTGTTGTGAGTCAGAATGGAATGGATGGCAGGACTTCTTATTTGTTTTTTTAAAGTGTATAGTACATTGCTGTTGCACAGTGGCGTGTAGCATTGTTGTTATTGTTAGTTGCCGTGGAGTCAAATTTTCCCCTTGGTGCCCCACATGACAGTGCTGAATTGCCCCGTCGTGCTCTCTAGGCTGTGATCTTTATGGCAGCAAAGAGCCGGAGTTTTCTCTTGTTGAGCAGGAGGTGGGGGTGGGGTTGTGACCACCAGCAATTAGGAGTCAAGTGCATACCACCATTGGAACTCTGTTTAAGGATCCGGATGTGAATTGAGGTCCCACTTTATTCTAACTGTATAATCAAGGTCAAGGATGCACCTTCCCTCAACTTCCAGGGGATGGCAGGAATCAAGACCCAAAAGCACCTGACCTAGAAGGGAACCAGGGCTCCTTCACAAAAGCTGAAAAAATAAATCATTTCGTGAAAGCTTACATCCTTTCTTTGAGATAAACTAATTTACTGAATCACAGATCTAATAGTAATAAAAAATAGGACCGGGCCCCTCTCAAGATAAAGTCTTTTATCTTATAGGGTGACTTTGAAAAATTATTACTGTGGTGTCCTAACTAGTATTCTCTACTTTCACATCTAACCACTAGTATCCATTGTAGTGGCTACACAGAACTCACAGACAATATTCATGATTAAAGGGTGTATTAAGGAACTTAACAGGTTGTAATGTAAGTGAGAAAGGCTCAGAATAGAGTTGTTCATGGGACATGTTACAAAGTACTTTCAGGGCTGCTAATAAATGCCAAGAGGGTACACGCCTCCACTGTAAGCCTCAATCAGAAGGCAAGACGTTCAACTCAAGTGCTGTGGGTCAGCAAACTGAGCTCGGTGAATTAAGTGCTCACAACCACCTACTCAAGTAAGCCTCAGCTCAAAGGCACTCATTTCCACTTCTGTGGGTCAAGAAGGACAACTCCCTGAATTAGGTACCCAGAGGCATAAGCCAGCCTCCTGTCCCAAAGCGCTCAGCTTCCCTTTTGCCCTGGGCTGGGATGTTTTCTGCTCTGGCTTCTGGTGCTGCTGCTGCTGCTCTTCTGATGTCCCAGCTGTCTTCTGGATCCTGGAGGTTCACTGGAGGGATCTCGCGTCCAGAGAACATGCTCCATTCCTGGGTATTGCTGATAGTGAGTGAGGTTCCTCCCCTCATGCTTCTCAGAGGGCTCATTCCAGGGAACCCTGCTAGTAATTATTCACATGAATCCATCAGCATCTCCTCCCACCTCCTTCCCAGATTCAAGCAGGAAAAGATCATTTGTCAGGAGTTAGACACTTTGGGTAGAACAGCCACATTAAATTATTCACTACCCCTGCTAATATATGTTATCTTTTTCTTTAGATTGAAGTCTCTTGAGACTACAGCTAATAAGGTGAAGAAAGTTCTCCTTGAATAAAGAAAAGGCATTAACATTCCCTGGGTGTTAGATAAGGCTTTTTTTTTCTTTTCTCTGTTTTTTAAATTGACAATGAATGGGATTTTCTCTAGTGCTGCAGTTATAGATGACATTTCACTTTATAAAAGATGTAAGGAGCTTGTTAGTTTTCAGTGTTGTTTGAGGAGGCATTATGTAATAAATACAGCCTTGTAAATTGGACAGTACTCTCTTTCATAAAATTTGTTATTTTGCTATTAGAAAAGTCACTGATAGAGTAAGTTCATCTGCCAGAAAGACTGTTTTATAACACCAGGGGGCTTAAAAAGTTCATGGAAAAATTCCATTTCTTTTAAATTGACAAACTTTTGGAAGCCCCTATTATTTAGTTGCATATCTTTTTACAGATCTTCTAAGCTTTAGAGAAATTCATTGTGTTTTATATTTCTTGAATATTTTTGTGATTATGAAAGTAACTCATTTTCTTGGGTTCATAACAGACTTGCAGTTTATTTTGGTTTTTCTTTACATTTTTGCTTTTGGTTGAGATTGCTCAGGGAAACAAAAACATATTTCTCAGTGAAATAGGTTGTCTCTTATCCTCAGGCCCCCATAATTCAATAGAAAGGAAAGCTCATTTTGAACTTTATTGGCGAAGGTTCCGTCAAGCCACAGTGTCATCAGAGTCACCGTGTCACTTTGATGACTTCGGTGGATCGAGTAGGGGACACCATCCCCGTTATTAAGCTAATGATCTCACACTGCCATTGACATTCCCACCGGAAACTAGTGAATCTGTTCGCATGAGATAAAGCCTTGACTACCTCTCAGAACAAGTCTGTTCACTTTGGTTGCCAAAGTCTTGCTTAGGAGCTGGCTAGCACACTTGCTGGGAGGAGAGTCAGTGGTGGCCTTGGCTGCTGGCTTCACTGTCAGCAGGAGGAAGCATCAGGGATCGTGGGGTACCAATCTGTCCCACTACTGTGTCCATCAGGGCCATCATCATACCCACTTGCTACCTACCTCTTAACACTCCTGCCCCCACTCCTACCACGAAGTGATAGAATAATTAAGACATGCATCATCTTATTGCGCCATGGAAACAGCCCTGCCAAGTCAGCATCTCAGAGGGTTGGTTCCAGGTGTGTAGATGAGGAAATTGTCTCAGACGGAGGTGATCGTGAAGGAAGGAGCAGATCTGGCAGCCTGTGAGCCAGCTAGCTGTGAAGAGGGCACTCAAGGGTTTGAAGGTGGCGATGTATCCTCAGTCCTTCTCCAGGGCACCCCCAGGGAGAGCAGGGAAGAAGAGCCCTTCCTGGGCACAATCCTGGGTGTAGCATGTGGCTGGACTTGTGGCAGTAGCTCTCCTCAATGCCCAGTGCTTTGGGATGTATTAAGGCAGCCATATTTGTGGTACAGTCTGTTGGTGTGGGATTGTCACCCCTGAGACGGAAGGAGGCAGAAGTGAATCTCATGTACAGGAAGTGTGGGTGTACAGTATTGGAATGCAGGTCACAGGGGATTCTAAAGTTGAGACTATAGCGGTGGGGGAAGAGAAGGCGATGAAAAGACACATTTCATTTACCTATTTGTCAGTGTGAGGGTGTGTTCTCATTTTACTTAAAAAAAAAGCTTTTTTTGAGAGATCATTTCCACACTATGTAATTCACCCATTAAAACTGTACAAGTCAGTGGTTTTTGGTTTATTCCTAGGTTTGTGCAGCCATTTATCACAATCAGTTTTAGAACACTTTCATCAGCACCCCACCCCAAACTCTGTACCCATTAGCAATCACTTGCCATTTACCCAGAACGCTGGTGGTGTAGTGGGCTGTTAATCAGAAGGTCAGCAGTTTGAACCCTCAAGCCCCTCAGCAGGAGAATGACAAGGCTTTCTACTCCCACAAAGACTTAGAGTCCCAGAAACCCACAGGGGCAGTTCTTCTCTGCCCAATAGGGTAGGGTCCCCATGAATCAGAATGGACTGCATTGGTAGCGAGTGATCCCTTCCCCCAAATCCCTGACTTATATCCGTGTGACAGGTTGGGTTTGTCTCTTCTGGCATTTCATGCACTCCTGTGAAAGAAAGCTTGTGGTTGGCAGTTCTTTGCAGCTGACTTTAGCATGGATTCCATCTGGAGCATTGCTTACCACCTAGCTATTCCTTTCAGTCTAAGGTTATTTGGGCCAGGAATTAAGGGAACTCTGACTCCCCGCCTGCTAATTTTCAGCCTTGTGGAGGTTGAGGCAGCTTTGTCATTGTTCCGGGATTCTTAGTAGACAAGAGTCATTTCTTGCTGCAGCCATTGCTTTTCTGCTGCCCCATGGCTCTGGGGTCTTAGAACTGTGTGACAGCGAGCTAGTTGGAGCATTGCTAAATGGATTCATTGAAAAAGTAAAGCATCCATACTTTCCCATTTGCTTTTCAAGGTTGGATGACTTAATTTTCAATCCTCATTTCCAGAAAAGCAGTGATAGGTTACACATGCTCTGCTAAGAACTATGCTCGCCTCGACAAAATATCCACCCAGCTGAGCTGACGTTGCTGAAAATTAAAATGACAAAATATTGTGTTCAGATCAACAACAACAATGGCTAGATTTTTGGCAAGAAACCTGACGGTTGTCCCTCCTCCCCCTGCAGTCTGTTCCTGCAATCCTGGATGTTCGGTTATTCCTAGTGCCCCAGAGGGAGACTGCTGTTTGTGCTAAGCGCTGGCATTTTCATTTGTCAAATTAAGGACGCTCTTTGCTTTCCTCTAGATATTTAAAGAG